GGAGGGAGGGGGAGGGAGGGAGGCAGGGGGGAGGAAAAGAAAGCAAACAGAAAGAAAAAGACTCCTTGCTGGAAGCCTCTAGTGGCAGCAGCTCAAGGAGAAATTGCCAGAGGACCATATATAGGCAGACAGAGCAAGAACACAAGCTTTACTTAGCTGGGGTCCTGTTGTGGTGTCAGTAGGAGGCCCTTTCACTCTTTACCTTGCTGACAATCCTACTGATAAAATGAGCCACTGTGGTGATTTGAGGAGAGAGTAATAAGATGATGGGGCTGGCCTGGGACAGGGACCTGCCAATTCCCTTCCATCAAATTCTTGGTTGAACTCAGAGCACGCACACTAACAGGAAATGTTAGTGTCATATGTGACAGTGAGTGCCACGGTACTGTACAGTGATCTCATGTACATTTTAGATAGAATGCCTAGGCCTGACAGCCCAGTTATTATGAGACAGTGTTTGCAAAATTAATTTATAACCCTTTATAAGTTGCTAAGAGACTAAGCCTATTTCTGTAAATAGTTCAGGGTTTTCTTTTTATTCTATAGTATGCTTCATAGTTACAATGAGTGCTTAATATATGTTTTTGTCAAAATTTTCCATGCCCTTGGGAGGAAAATTGCTTATAAAATTGTTGAAATAGAACAGGCATTCTGAAACAATATAATGGCGGCTACTCTTCTAAAAGGATATAAAATTACAACACTAGCAGTTGAGATAATACTTGGGCTTTGTAATACTAGAGAGTCAGGCTCTGCTGTATGTGATTTTGAGAAACTCTTCTCCCGGCCTCATTCTTCTTAGTGAAACCAACGTAACAGTTTCTATTTGTAGGGGGTTTGTGTAGACGTGTGTGTGTGTGTATGTGTGTGTGTGTGTGTGTGTGTGTGTGTGGTATGTGAGAGTGTGTGTGTATGTGTGTGTGTGTATGTGTGTGTGTGTGTATGTGAGAGTGTGTGTGTGTGTGTGTGTGTGTAATATGTGCACATCATATTATGCTTGGGATTTTGTGATTGTATCATAAGTAGCTGATACGAGTATGGAATACTTTAGTTGTTCTGAGGATTATATAAACACTAACTGATAAAATGGCTGCAGCTATTAAAACTCAGTGCTCATCAAGGAACATGGAGGAAGTGCATTTGAATACTGAAGCTGGTTTCTGTATCTGTAAACAAGTTGTGGGAGACTTGTTTCTTATGGCTGATGTTTTCATTTGAATGGACTGTGTCAGACTTCGAAATGAGAAATGACAAGACAAAGTTATCAGCTTTAAGAGTGAATTGAGCTAGCACTATTTCTACTTTATTTTGTTGCCAGTAGTTTTGATGTTCAAGAGCAGAGTCAAATCTTACAGCTGAGAAAGATTTAGCTGTTGTATAGTGTAAGCATCCATCAGTCACACATTCCTAATAGTGACTGTGTTCTGTTTATTGCAGAGTGATGTTCTTGAGAAATCCATGCTGGATGATAATGTTTCAAAGAAATTCCACAAGTGGTATTGTGCACATTGTTATGATAGACATATGAAATAACTTAATGAAGATTATTTTGAAGACATAATCTAACTTTTAATGCAGTAAGTCATTTCTTGTACAGAGCTGGAAAAGATTTTTCTCTTTTTCCTTTTCTATCTCTCCCAAGGTAATTTTTATAAACAAAATTCCTGATGGATTTATTCCCAGCTCAATTGTCATTGTTTACAATGCATACAGTGCCTTGAAACTTATACTTTTAGTGGTGCATGATTGGTATTTTAAAGTTTTAGTTTTTTACATTCCTCTGATTCACAGTGCTGACACAGGAAGGAGAAGGTGGGTTACTAGACTTAGGATTATAGAAACAGATATATGTACACACTTACTAGACGAAAATTGACCAATTTGGAAAAATGATACTTTATATAAAGTTTGGGGTGGGAGAAATAAATGTAGAAAAAGGAAAAGGTTTTGGATAAAAGATCTTTCTAAATATAAAATGTCAAGGAGAATCATAAGAAAATTTCTAAATTTACTTTAAAATACCTAAACTTCAGTATAATAAATGTGCACAATATAAAAGGAAACAAAAAATGAAAAGTTATATAATTTAAAAGTTATATTGATAGTGTTAATATTTTTA